ATATAAGACTGCTATAGCTGTAGCTGGGAACCACGCTTTTTGATTGCAATCGGCCGCACCAGACTTGTACACATATATACCCACTTTGTTACTCGGCTCGGTGAGTTCAGTTTTTTATTCTTATGTGTTGGTAAATTGTGCATTTTTTCCACTAAAAGGTGATTGCATTATGTTATTTTTATGTTCCGGTTAAGGGTTTTCCGCCCTTAGCTAATCTATATACAATAAAAGTTGTTTAAATTGTACTAAGCCTAACGACACCGCCATTTGTTTACATTAAAAACTCTTAGCAGAGTAGTGAATTGTTGCTTTCTGCAGCAACTTCAGAGTCTCTTTGTCGAGTGGAACCAAAAGTAAACTTTCAATTTTATGCACCAAAAATCAGTCTTCTTGCCCGCTAGCAGAATTGCTTGTTTGTGCATGGAAACTCTTAATTTTAACTGTACAAATGTTTTTAACTGTATTTGGTGTTTTATGTTTTTTTGCATTTCACAATCCTAAATGAAGATGATTTGCGTATTTTTGTATTTTTTCCTACTCGTGAACTGTGAGCTGAATTGATTGAATGAGTCATATATCTGTAACGAAATTCAAGGAAATAAGTTTAAATAAAATGCAGCAAAAAATGTGTGAAATTTAATAAACCGTACAAAAAAGTTATGTGGTATCCACATTAGATTTTTTTTCTTCTTTTTTTAATATTTGACCGTGGCACGCACTCCACACGTTTGATAACTTTATGCTGTATTTGTAACCAAAAAGTATATATACGTGAAGCAGCTAAAAATATAGATTTGGTGTTTTGCTTTTGTTTCTTTAACATTAATTTTTGATGTCAGGCTGTGCATTGTCTGTTTTGGACTAAATGGTATACTAAAAATAATAATTTACTCTATGTATTTTTTAAAAATTATTTTTGTGATGCTTAAATTTCAGCTGTGCGCAAGTTAAGCTCTATAATTTTACAGAGATGGCCAAAATAGTTGCTATTTAAGAACGCATCTAATTCTGTTTCAACGCGCAATTTTTCCGAGAACTTTTGATTTAATATAGCTTAAGAACAGAATACAAGTCTCGTTTTATATCACTGGTCTTTAATTAAAACGGTTCAAGCTGCCTTTTTTTTTTTTTTTTTCTTCTTTTTAATCTACATCTGAGTTAGATTCTTAAAAATATTTTAAATCAAAAACTCTTAATATTTATGACTAATAATTAAAAGATGCCAGTATATTCAAATTTTCAGAAATAGGTTTAATTCAAAAAATTAATATTTGATGTATTAAATTCTCGAAAGTATAAATTACATTAGCGCAACTGCGCAAGAAGTTTTTCTCTGTATTTTTTATTCAAAATCAATAATTTCACATTTTTGCTTAACACTACTAAAATCAATTAGTAGGGAATTTAGAAAATGATATTTAAGTTGATGATAATAATAAAAACTAATAAAATTTTACTTAATACTAGAATATATTCATTTGAAATGTACAAAATTTTATTTACTCGGAATAAAGCTGCGAGAAGTGGCAATGAGTAATATGTGGTTAGAAAACATCGCATGCAAGCCATACTTTTGCGCAACAATTCTCTTAGTGACATGTTTTCTTTACTCAAAAATAATTTATTTTATGCAAATTTATTTAATTTAACATATACGCAAATAGGTAAAAACGAAATTAAGATTTAATTAAAGATATTAATATAATTTATTTGAAACAAAGTAAATTTTTATTTTTGAAAAAAAAATCTTATTTCTTCGCAGTTTCCGTTTATCCAGTCAAATTTTCTTTTCCTCACAATTTCTTTGAAAATCAATTTATCGCCTAGAAACAGGATTGGATGTATTTCTAGACAGAAACTTTGAATAACTTACATCCTCAGCATCACTCTAGCACAGCTGTCAAGAGAGAATTTCAAGTAAGGATTCGTGGAGTACGCTTCGAATGAAAACTAAACAAAAACTAAACAAAAACAGTAGAAGCGGAAGGAACAAAACTTCTTTTCTTCTCGGAAGTCAACCCATTCTTCAATTTCGGATATTCTCCGGGGCCTTCCAGGCGGCTGTTTACGGCTTCATGCAAATTAAGGAAGCCATAAATTTTGGCAGCCATTTCGCTATTCTCGGTGTCGATGACAGTGTTATCAGCTGTAAGGCGGAGGCTTTTGTTAATAAAAATGAACTCTCTCCGCCTCACGCTGATAAGCTTATTTTTGCTCCTGACCCGTTTTAACACGTTATGATGAAATAATGCGGTGTAATTAATCTTTTCGACATCTTTGAAAAATCTGCATATCTCTGCGTTACTGACTATATTAACTGACTGGAAGTAAAAGAAATATACGACGATTTTCGTTTTCCTCAAGATTGAAAATATGCTGAACTTAAGATGATTACTTTCAGCAAAGAAAACTATCCAGATTTGGTGTAAAGAAAGAAAAAAACTCTTATTTTGACAATAAATAAATAGTTTCAAAACAATATACTTATTTTCAGAAAAGAAGAACCCACTCAATAAATAAATTGAAACTTTGGAATGTTGGAAAAAAATGAAAGTGTTGAAAATACTTTTAGGACGATTATTTCATATTTCCTGTAGTGAGTAAGTAATATGAATGTGCTCAGTTGAAAAGGACAAAATTTAAGAACAAAAATTAGCATAATATAGATAAAAGCCAATTCTTCTTATGAATTTTATCCTGTATGGAGAAAGTTTATTTGGAATATCCGTTTACGCTGTATAAGTATATTTTCTAAAAGAAATAAATATAACACTCAATTTGCAAGGGTATTTATTTTCTCACATTTCATTCTGAACGAATTAAATGCTTTTGACAAAACAGTTTGCTCAGAACAGTCTAATTTAAATGAAATATTTCCACAAATTTTCGTTAATTACATTTAAAAAAATTTAAGGTAATTCAATTTTATTCGGTTAAGGATTACAAAAATTAAGATCAAAGTTTATTGTATTATTAATATTAAAATTACGCATTATTTGTTTTATATTTACAGAGTTTCTTCCTAAAATACTTTCTCAAACATGGCATGATTTTGTAGCTTTTGATGCATTTTTAAATCGAAAATCTCAGTCAATTTATAATTAATGCTGTATTCGGTCCATTTCAAATTAGAGGGTCTTTTATTTTAATGGTGAAATATGTTAAATAGTAATGCTCATTTTCATGTACTGAACTTTGTCTGAATATTTCTGAAAGGGAATAAAAAAAAAGGATTTTTTTTTAATATTATTTAAATCTTGTAACTGAATTCTTATAAAATGTAAGGGAATAAATCTTTTAATACTTCTCAGATTTTTTTAACATTAATTTCAACAATAATTTGTAGAGACATTAGGTATTTTTGGAAGCAGGCAAGATGAAAAATTAGTAACGCCTTCTTCGGGAATCGGACCGCCAACCTCTCAATTACGTGCTGAGCGTGCAGACCACTACACCACGAAGTCTAGCTAAGAAGGCGGGAGAAATACCTTATAACATACTCTAAAATTCTTATTTACTACTTCCTTAAGCATCTCATCTCATAGAAATTGCTTTCCAGTACGAACAATTCTTGCTTGAATAGTTTTATAAACATATTTGTCAACAGAATTTCAATTTTTACGATTTAATGTTAAGTTTATTACATATTTAGATAATATTTATAAACATTATAAATTTAGATATATTTAATAACTAGATTTCTTCTTCACAGTACCTTTCACAGGAGTTTATTAATCCTTCATTTCAAATACATTTATAAATAATTTAATAAATATTTACGCATCTTGTTAAAGGCAGATACATGCTTCTTGCAAGTATATGCATAAATACCCATACATATTTCATATTTTTCATTTTCGGCTTGTGCAAATCTTTATGTTTTGTGCATTAACTATATTTTTCGAGTAATTTACAATAATTCAGCATATACCAGAAATTTTTTGCATAAGAAATATGCGTAAATATAATTAATCTTTAATTACGATAATTGAGAGCAAATATTGCAATATGCTTCAGTTAGTCATTCTTTATCTATGAATGAAACCTGCGTTCATTAAGAAGCGAGCATGAACCTGGAATTTTCGAGAAAAAAAAGACTTGCGTGGGAGTAAACAGTACATGTTACAATTATATGTGGAAGGCAAAAAAATTTATTTTTTTTAAACGATTTTGGTGTTTGGAACATAAAATAAAAGTAGGGTATCGAAAGGCGCATACAATTTTAAAGGTACCGTAAGGTATTTTTCATTCTTTAAGCATAACATTTTTGCTAAAATATATATTTTTGTAGTTCAACTGCTTAGAATTTTGTAAAACAAATTTATAATCAAAATTTGCGTTTGTTAGTTATCGAAAAATAACCAAGATGTGATTTTTGCGTACATGTAACTAAACTATACAAATTGCTATTATCCATCACACAATGAATATTTCTTTTATGCGGAAGTGTCCCGTTTTCGATTTGTATGGAACTGTCGTGTATCGAAATACTATCAAAGCGCTGTTAAGGGAGCTTCTGGATGTAAGCAAAAAACACCCGATCTGGAGAGCGAAGCCTGGGAAGAGTGCTTCACTCGTAGTGCAGGGTTGGCCCCTCCTTTCATTCTCACCTCCATGGGCGGAACTGAGCACAGTTGTATTGTCAGCTCTTTGTTGCTCAAGGATCTTGCCAACAACAGGCGCAGTCTCCCTCTTCTTGCCACGATGTATTCCGTGGGCTTGTTCTGCTTGTTACTATCAGACAAGTGAGATAAGTCACAATAAGAACACTTCAGCGTGTTCGGCGCAAGAAAGGAAGAAGTATGTAAGCCACCAGACCATCACCTTTTACAAATATGTTTTCAAGTTTTACAATTATAGTCGTCATCACACTAAGCAGATATGTTATGAATAACCAAAAAATCAATAAAATAAATTCCTAGGAACATTCAGAATGGGCTGAATGATATGACTACAAATTTTAAACATGAAAAAGAAAATGCATAAAAAGATTTTCTTACCAAGCCATCTCTGTTCAACACTTCTCTTATAAGCCATATTCTTCAACTTTCTTATATATGAATCTGAAAATTCCCCAGCGTTGCAAAGAGCCAAATAGGCAATGGGATTGACAAGGAGACTTTTGGCTTGTCGCTGAGCCACTGACTTTTTCAGCAGTTTAACTATATTCACACCATGGAAATTCTTGGGGTTGTTACAGGTAACCACTAGTGCATGGATGTAGTGGGACAATTCATGCATGCGCAAAGCCTTCTCTGCATGTCTGCTCGAGAAAAAAAAAAAAAAAAAAAAGTTAATATTCTTCCTCGGTAACGAAGGAGATAAAATTAAATATTAATATGTAGAAGTAGGATTTCTTAAAAGAAATTTTGAATTAGTGAGATGCACATGGTCGAAGTGGCAAAACACCAGAATAACTCATCAATTAAATAAATAAAAATAGAAACTATCATTATTAAAGCTACCATTACTGAAAATAAACCACGGCAACAATCAAAAATTAAAAGAAATCAATGAAATCTTATAGTCAGTCATACATTTTACTGAATCAGCGAATCAATGTAATCTTACAATTAAATCAATGAGATCGTACAGTCTTGTTAGAAATTATCAGCAATATAAAAGTTAAAAGTAAGGAATAAGTTAAAAAATAAAGATAAAAGAATAAAGAAAAGTGGTTTTTTTTTTTTTTTTTTTTTTTTTTTTTTTTTTTTTTTTTTTCCCATTTCAAAGTTGGAAGGGAAAAAGTTTTACCTTTTGTGTCACGTTTGCAAATAACAAAAGTACCAATGTCTTGTACAATGGCAACGAGCAGTATTATATACATTTTTGTCAAAATTAATAATTTGCAAAAATTAGCCATTTTGTAATACATAATTCATTTTATTTTGAAAATTATATCACCATCTAGATGCTGACTTGCAAAGTACATGCATTTCGGAAGTCTCACTCTCTACTTCTGCACTACCCTTTTAATCATGCCTGATGGCATTATCATGAATTCCGGTCTGATAGCATCTTTCAGTTCACTGGTTGTCCTCAGCCATCTTTGCAACTTAAGTCTTCACATACCCCCCCTTCAAGTCGCGAACTGCAAGATCAGGAGAACGAGCTGGCTATAAAATGATACCTTAAAGTGACTACCTTAAATTATTTTACGTAGCACATTCATCGTTATGCTTGCTGGGTATGTTGTGGCACCATCTTGTTGGACCACACAAAGGTTTATTTCCTGACATAGATGAATAGTCGGAAAGAACAAGATTTACCATTTTATTTCAGTAATAAATCCTGTTCTTTCCATCTGTAAAATAAAATCTCGCACAACAGCTATTGTTGCTTCGTTATTTACATAAGAAATTCGGGAATTATTTCTGCCGCATCCCGTGTTATTGACCTACGCACTTTGGGCTGAAATGCCGAACACTGAAATCACTCAAGCAACACAAATTGTAGCAATAAATAGTTTTCTCTAGTATTAAGAGGACATAATTAAAAGTTAGCAAACGTAGATTTATAGCAAAAAACGTTTTGAGATATCATTCGTGATAAAGACACTTTTTGTCAAATTATAAGTTTGCAACTGAACTAACTACGTTCCCATATATAAAGAAATGCTTTCTTTCTCTGCTGCACTCCTTCCTAAAAATTCCGAGAACAGAACTAAAATATAGAGTTCTGAGAATTTGGAATTCTAAGACATTTACTCATGCTTGAAAAAACTAAATGCAAATCCAAAAATTTCATTTTTCTCAGTTTTTAATATGTTATTAAGATATGTTTCCTAGAAATTCATATCTATTTGTAAATAGAATTTTCTTTGTGTTGGCACAGGACTTTAAGCATTATCTTCACTTATTTATTAACAGGTGTATCACTAATATATTCGACCAGTGCTTTTTCATACCTACTGCTGACAAAATGCAACAATAAATGCAAATACTACAGTACTAACTGGAAAACCAGAATTTCTCTTTTATAAAGTATTTATTATAAAGAATAAAATAATTAAAGTACGCTTTTCACCATAGTATTAAATCTATTTCAATACATTCACATCTGTGCTTGGGGTACAGAATGTAAGTTACAACAGAAGATGGATTCTTTCCGAAAAGTACGCATCTCCTCACGTATCACCGACCAAACCTCATCGTAGTTCCGGAACATCGTTCTATTCAGAAATGTTGCCAGCTCTCATCTCCAGTAGCGGTATTCTGCAGAATGTTTTCCCATCAGTCTCATATCGAAGGAGAAGCTCTTAGGAAACATCAACGCGTTTTGTTTTCGGTTCAATATCGAACATTCATGTGCCCCTTCTACACTGTAGGCCTTCAACGTCAGGACTGATGTGCTGAGCTGATCCGACATCAATATCTGACATAAAGTCTTCGATGCGTTGACTTTCCTATATCATGTTCTTCATAGAAGCAATGCTGTCTTCCATAACTTCTTGACCTTCAGCAAGAAAAATCTTCCACAGTAGTGTTCAGTCTTAATCTTCTCTCTCTGTCCATTATACTTATATAACTGATACAGCTGTCGCATACTGAATTCTAATCTCGTGATGAATTAAAATCTCCCAACATTTCGCTGTTTTTGGCTTAATATATTTTTGCAAGAGCAGTGCCATTTTGTCATTGCTCTTGCATCAGTGTACTAATTTCTCATATTCCTGTGCGTGTCACAAGCATGCTGACACCATCCAGGTCGACCTTTCCCGATAACATGAAGAAAGGACAAATAATACTTTTCGAGAAGAAGGATAGGAACCCAGAAGATCCTTCTGCATTTCGGCCAATAAATTTGCTGCCCGCCATAGGAAAAGTTCTAGAAAGACTTATTGCCGGGCGGTTGATATATCACTTTATCAAAAATCATACAATCAGTAAAAACCAGTACGTATTCAAAGCCACCACAAGCACTATTCATGCAATTGATATAATACTGAAGCAAATCCAACAGAATAAATCAAAAGGTGAACATAGTGCACATTTTGTGTTGATTTAAAAAGTGCCTTCGACTCACTATGGTGGTTTTCAGTATTACTTGCACTTAATAAAGCCAAGGGTCCTTCTAATATTCAATTACATTACTTTCATAATAGAGAAAGCATATTCATTCATAACAACATTATAACCAGCACAAAACTTACTAGAGGATATCCTTAAGGATCCTGCCTGAATGCTGATTTCTGGGCCCTCATCTTTAATGACGTCTTAAAATATGAATTTCCTGATTATATGATGATCTTGGCGTTTGCGGATGACACTGCGTTGGTTGCTAGTGGTAGGACTAGAGACATCCTCGAAAGGAATGTGAACGGGTTCTCTCAAATAGCTTAACATAGAATGCCAGAGGTTGAAACTCTGCATTTCGCAAGAAAAGTTCAATGCTATACTTTTTAACAAAACCAGGCCAAAAGCTTTTAAGGAAGTCCGCCTTCCTCCTGGATGGAAAGAAAATTAAGATTACCCAAGTCCTGAAGTTTCTGGGCATCCACATAGATAAGCAACTTAATTTTATATACCATCTCACGGAGACTCAGAAAAAGATAATTCAAATCGCCATACAGAGACCTTTTCTCCTGAGCACCTGTAAAGCCTATAGACCGACAGCTAATTACTCTCTATGCATTCTCACTGGGACAGCTCCCCTTCATTTAATTGCGATGAAGGATTCAATCAAAGTACTCCAATCAAGTCAAAGTTGAAAGAAGATGCTTATCTGAACCGCACCACCTTTTATGCCTCAAAGTATGAGTCTCCTGCCTTAACATTGACTTACCCTCCTGCAACGTATTGTAATTTAATAATTAATACGGACGCACCAGCAATTCAATAGTCAAGAATGTCCAAGAACATTTAAAGACGGATCTAAAATTCCTAGAGAAGTGGGCGTAGCGTAATCTATTCATTTTCCTCTATTCCAACAATATGGCAAGGAAAATTATCTCCAGAAAATTCTGTTTATCAAGCTGAGCTGTCAGCAATTCAATCTGCAGTAAATAAAGCTATATCACATAATTTCAGGACAATAGCTATCTATTCAGACAGTCAATATCCATTATACGCCCTGAAGGGCAGAAACAATAAGAACCAACTGCTTCAGGATATTAAAAATATAATAAATGCTCACCCAGAAATCCAGTTTTTCCTCAATTGGGTGAAAGCCCACAACGGGAACGACGGAAACGAGGGGGCTGACCTCCTTGCAAAGGATGCAGCGACTAACATCAACAGTGAGGTAATTCATGTCCCGTGGCCCAAGTTCCATATAAAATTTACACTGAATGCAATTGTCGACTCAAAGTGGCAAGAAGAATGGGATTCTGCATTGCAAGGCAAAAGAGTCTACGATTTTTCCCAAGATCTGACAAAGAGGCACTACACTATGAACATCTTCTGAATCAGTATATCACAAGGCACGGTCCTTTCCCCACCTATTTCCATGCCAGAGGCGTGTGCTCCACGGATCTCTGCATATGTGGCGAAAGGGGTGACCTTGATCATTATATTTTTGACTGTAATCTAACTGACGGCAAACATCTGAATAAGCCTAACAACAATCTAATACCATTTAAGAAATACGCAATAAAGAATAGTCACCTTAGGGCCAAAATAAGAGACGTTCTTATACATATCCACACGGACTGGACATTTGTCATATCTAACGCTTATTCATCTTCATATATTTCTAATATGTATTTATTTATTTTCTTTATTTTAATGTTCCAACAATTTCATGATGGACGGGAGCTCCAAAGACTTGCTTAATACACCTTCCGCCTTAGAAAGGACATTTGTTCTTACATTTAGGCTTTTGGAAGCATCAGTTGTTGAACTTTTCAAGGACAATCTTTTCTCAGTATAATTTGTGTACACTATTAATACCAGTCAGTTATCTCAGAAAGTTCTCTCAAGGGGTCGATGGTAAAAAAAGAAGGGCGGGAGAACCTCGTACCCCCCCCCGGGGTGTTCTTCCTCAAAACTGGGGTGAAAAGTTGAACAGTTAGCTAGGTTCAGCAATACCTGTGGTACTAAGGAGGTGCTGGCCTAGCTTCTACCTGTACCTGTCATTAATACCCAACATGATGATGATATCAATTACACAAGCGATTTTTACTATAACATTTCTGGTCTCCTTCTGAATGGTCTAAGCGTTGATGTCTGTCTTCAAATTTAGTTTATATAAATTTGAAAGGCTTAATCATACGCTATTTAGTATTGCAAATAAATTGCCGGTTAATTTAGTTCAATTACTGCCAAAATTACTGTTCTTCAGAGCTGTCACATTTTTCATAACCAAATAAGATTAAGGTATGCAAAAAAATTAGAAACTCTTTAGAAGAGGGAACAAAATAAGAAGTGAAAACTAGCTTCTTGAGTCTTCATTTGTATACACATCATAAATGACCCCCCATGACGTATGGAAAAACCAACCTGATTACTATTTATTCAACCTATTTCCCAGAAGCCGAAGTAGAGTCGAATTGGGAACATTCAACAAGCTTATCAACTCTAACATTGGATAAGGACCACCCGGCTGCGTAGTTATCATAGAGTTTGAAGAAACTTCAGCTGATGTAAACTTCTGCACAGTAATGATAGCTTTGATACAACTAAAATGATTGTATAAAATTAATCAGATAGTAAAACACACTAATCGAAAACGAAGCCAAATATAGTTCGCTCGCATTAGAATGACTCTCGATACATACCCGATATAACGACGATGACAGCCCACCCAATATACCAAAGCATGCGAAAGTTTGAACTGAACTATAAATCCATTATATTTTTTCTCAAAGTGAAAAGACCAAAATTCCATTTTAACGGCCTTCTTGAGAACGTGAATAGGGTAAAATATAAATTTATTTTTCTAAAATGTAAATTAATTTTTTTATGAAGACCATAGCTTATAAAACGAGCCAGAATTACTTCCTCTTTTTTGAACTAGGAAAATGTCATAAACCATGCTTTTTAAAGGTCTAAATCTCAGCTTGTATTATAAAGCAAATACAAAAGCATCAATAAAGTATCTTTGAAGAATGGTCTAAAATTTGAGCAAAAACTGATATCGAGGGAAAGAACTTTCTTTTTACTTATTAGTAATTACACTGCATATTATTGAAATGTTGGAATAAATTTTAAGTTTGTAAAAACTGAATTCTTACTCCTAAATGATATTTCAGTTTTAAATTTACTGATCAAAGAGCAACCCACAGCTTCCAAAATCATTATTAATGACTAGTGATGAATAATATATTCACTGGCTTAAAAATAAAAAGACTAGTGATGAATAATGTATTTTTGGCTTAAAAAAGATTATGATGAATAATGTATTTACTGGTTTAAAAATAAAAATATATGGTATAAATAAGACAATTACACTTCACTTAATAAAAGTCCCTGGAGGTGAAGTTTTCATATCGATGATTTGCGATTGCTTTCAAATGTAAGATTTATGGACAATGGAAAATTTGTCCAAGGCTTACCTGATATACACGAAGCATCATATGTTATGCCAGATATATAATGGGAAATAGTTATAAAGAAAAGGCCAAAACATACTGATATTCCAAAAAAATAATCTATGAAGATTGTCCTGCAGCTAATAAAATTATTCATTCATTGAACAGAAGATTTACCCGACGACAATTTAAGTCGAAATTCATTAAATTCTGAATGAATCCACACAAATCGGTCATTCACTAAAAATATGCAGCGGAAATAAAACTCATATTTATCAGTAAATGACAAAATAAAAAGCTATTGCACTTTTATCATATTTCGTTCATAGGGAAAACAACTACAAATTAGTGCTTATATAAATTTAAACTTTATAAACAGATTGAATCAGTATTCAAGATGTCATCTAAAACAACTCAGCCCAAAGATTTTATCAAAAACGCTTTGATTGCTTCTTAAGTAAACTGTAAATGGTTGCTTCACTCGTTCTTACTTTTTTACTGGATAAAGGAAATTGAAAAGAAATATTACAGAATGAGAATTTTCAGGTTATAGAATTTTTAATTATTTGATAATTTATTAGAAATAATTAAAATTCTAAACATATAAATAAGAATAATAATTTAATTCCTCAGATATTTTAATGTGTAATAATATAACAACAAATGCTTTTTGCTGATTTAAATATAAGTAACATTTAGTTTTCGTCGGTTCCTAGAGAGTTCTTAGAATTCTAGTCAACTGTAATAAAATTTGAAGATGAAATTAAATCACATTAGTCTAATACATACACTTCTCAAAATTTGTTCTACGTCTTCATATATTCATTCCATTTAAAACGTATCTAAAGCTTTAGATATTTACCTCATAAGGTCTAATGCTAATTGCACTTCCAACTGCTTCTTTGTCATCAAGCCATCCATATTATCGAAATCAAAATAGCTGTCGTTAGCTAAATAAAGTGCGGTGGCGATTCTAGGAGTGGCCTTACCCCATCCCCATCTGATGTCTCTCTCCTCAATGATATAACGGACAGACTTCCGAAGAGCGTCGATGCGAGTGGGAATCCACGACACATCACCTCTAGAAGAGGACTTAGGTGGAAATGCTGTCGTCGTTGTGCTTGTTGTTGTTGTAGTTGTGCTAACTGTGGTAATTGGCGTAAGTGTCGTAGATATATCCAATGAGTCTTCATTCATATCAGAGTCATAATCGTAGTCTGAAAGACATTAGAGAATTCGTAAGCAATGATTCTTTCCTAACGAAATGGAAGACCAAAAAGCATAAAAATGCGTTTGTTATATTTTGCATTTTTTTAATTACTTTTTAATATAGAGGACCAAAAAAGTAATATGAAGAAGTTACACACTATAACTTAAGTATGAAAAAACTGAAAATTGTTCTACTAATTTGAAACAATACATTTTTTTCGACGAACGATGTAAAGATTTTAGATATATTTGGTAACTATTTATGGTACTGAAAAAATTTTACATCTTTCATATCTTAAAGAGCATCTAAAGGAAGAAAAATATCAAACGTTGCACACAGCAGTTTTAAATCTTTAGTTTTTCATTTAATTTGCAACAGAATTTTTTTCTAAATGATGGCTTCCTAAATACACGAGTAACATGCTGCTTACATTGTCGGGAGGAACACATTCAGAAATTTTAGTATTTGGACCATTCAAAATACTTATATTTACTAAATTAATTTTTATTTCATTGAAATAATTATATTTTTCAAAGCCTACTTCATTGTGGTGAAGAGATAAAAGTCTTCTTTAAGAGCAAATTGTTTCCAATTATCTCTCGATGATCGAAACAGGAAATTGTACCTTCATGGTTTTTCGAAAGCCCCCCCTGATCAATATTAACATATTCCGTCTGTTGAGCTTATGTAAAACACGAATAGGGTCTTATTTTTATATCCCTCTGAATGGTACAGCGAGTTAAAGTAAGTTCTAATAGCTACAGCACTTTTAATTATTTTTTGGTCACGAGACAATCCATATCATAAATTTATTCCGCATGCAAACTGTTGTTAATACTAATCCTCCTGACCTGAACCTCAACCAGATCAGGTCCACGAATTTTATCCGGATCAAGTGACAAAAGCTGCACCTGTCGTAAGCCTGGGGAATCTTGTAAGTGATATTATGAGTTTCCCCAAGTGCCTCTCTACACTTAGAAACATCTATACCTTCCTCAGAATTCGAATGCATGCCAAAGCCTATGGCAGCCGACTTCCCTACCGCCATGGCAAGAGGCTGGCAAAACACGGACTAATATATTGTATAGCAGCGGTTCGCAAAAAGTGCGTCGGCAGACGATTTTTGCAACTGCAAATAGATGGATCTCGAAAAATCGCTACTATACAGAGATAGCCCATGAAGCTGAAAATTTTGAAAATACTCCAATCTTTAGGTTTTTCAATTTATTCTTAACCTTCTGTTTATTATATATGGTACGAGTACTTTACTAATAGTTTGAATTTCATTCAAGGAAAGTTCTTATTAGATTCCGAGCTGCGAGATAATTTTGTAATAGTTTTAAAGAAATTTTCGATAGCTATTTTGTTCATTTATTTTGTAAGTCTACCTACACTTATTCATGCTTTGGAAAAACAGACACGATAAAATTCTGTAGGTTTTTTTTAATATATTGATTGGCATTATGATGATGTTCTCACCAGCCTCTGCAATTTAAGTAAGAATCAGTATCATCTCAAAATCATTGTGGCCTCAAAATATTTTTTGGATGTTACTTCGCCTCAGTGTTGTAACCCTCACAAATTTGGGATATCCACAAAGCCCCTGAACAATTTTAACAGCTTTTTTTGCCTGGGAATGGAACAACTTATACCTTTAGTACTGGTCACAATTTCACAAGCAGCGTTTAAAGATTCTATAACAAGTAACATAAGTTACACAACTCTGACGTGCGCGCCATTGGTTAAGCGTAAAATATCAAACCGATATTTCAACTCTGTCCATTTATAGGCAACATGACGAGATAAATAATTGCAATACCACTGCTGATTCTTTGACACTTTCAAATGATAAGAAGTGGCTTTAACATAGTCCCACAGAAAGAAGTCCTTAAATAATGTAGTGGCCTTGGAAGAGATCCAACCCTCTGGATCCATCTGTTGAGAAAAGTTCTGTCAAGAAAACTGCGAGCTCACAATGTCTAGTGTGGTGGCGCGCCATTCTGCTTAATAGAGATCTCTGGTTGACAGTTTTCCAACTGTGGGCAAATGTAATTATTCAATTTATCGAGGTAAACTCCAGCTGCTATTGTTTGTTCATGGGAGAAACAATGGTCCTAAAATCCACATCACTTTGATCTATCCCACTTTGACTCCCTTATGACATGAGTATTTCAGGATCCGCAAATACTCACATAATGGAAATATTAAACCAAAATAAACTGTTAGGGAAAATATATTTAATAACACCAAATTATTTTTTTTAATTAAAATTTTATAGTACTACCTCTCACAGGATGCCCATAATAAGAGTAAAATTGTTCAGTGGGACAACATGAGATTAAAATGGTAAAGATATATTATCGTTGAAAGATTTCTCATTTATGAAAAGTTTGAAATGGAACAATATTTGGCATCATATTCGTTTTCCAGCATTTATTCGTTGCCATGACAGATAAAAAAAATTAATAGTTTTGTACTTATTTCATTTAACTAGGCCGTTTTAATGCCCGTTCGTTTAAATTAGGTCATTGACAGCTCAGTGTAGGACTAATGAATCATTAACATAAAATTTATCACTTAATTTCTTCAATTTTAAGAATTCAAACATGGTCATTGCTAAGATAATAGACTTGAAAGACTACATCATACCTACCACAACTTTCCTCGTCTTCTCCATTCTCACAATCTGGCATGTCGTCGCAACGACCTGCCTTTGGAATACACATTCCGTCGTCACAGCGGAAGTACTGAGACTTGTCACAGTTGTTCAAGAAACCTTCTTAAAAGTAAAAATAAAACGAATTAGGAAAAATAAAGATAAATTATTGTATCCTGAATTTCTTCAGAAATCTTTCGGATTTATTATTGAAATGTCAACTACTGGTGGAATATTTAACTGTACAAATTTTATTTAGTAATTTGCTAATGTATTTTAAAATATTGAATCTTGATTGCGATTCTATTCTGCTCTGTAATGACTCATCATTAAATTCTGCTCAGATATCAAACTACCAAAATATTTGACATAGCAAGTTCTTATTATATTTTACTTCCTTTTATTCAGTTTGAAAGGTCATCCTGTTGACTAAAAGGCTGAATGAATTGAAAGAAAGAATGCTCAGATGCTTTAATAAATTAATGACCTCAGTAGTCATCTTCAGATCAAAAGATTCCGGTTTCAATTTCCAACCGAAAAGAAACTTTTTAGAAGACAGCTTGAAGATAATAAAGACAACTTTAATAGAACAAATACAAGAGCACACTGAAATTTACACTGATTTTATATAAGATTTGACTAAAATATTTAAAGTAGTTATTTACATACATATTTATAGTTAGTAATCGAAAGGAATATAAATACTTCCTCATGAACTTAAATGCGCAAAAATAGAAAATATTTATTAATAAATATAAAAAATTATATATTTCTTTAATTTGAAAAGAGTTTTCCTTTCTATTTACTTCTACTCTTCAGCAAATATGCATTTTCATTTAGACTGGAAAATTTAAGAGTTATAGAACATCGTTTAATGCAGTTAAGAAATGCACATATAAATTTCAGTAAAGATTTGAACTTTTAAAAAGAAAAAAAAACGTGCTTTATCTGATATTGTTATCAGAAATAAAATTTCTTCAAGGAAAACTCTTTAAAAAATTTACAAATATGATAATTTCAGATAATTTTTGCATTTTTAGATATTTAGAGATCAAGCAGAACTATAAAAGCATTAATTATGATATGAAATTAAATTCGCAAGGAAATTCGTAGAATTTTTTTTTTCTTTCTTAAAACCACTTCTTTATGCTTTTATGGCTCAGCCGAAATCAGATTTCTTATTTTCTCAAGTGCTGAGTAATTAGCTTAAATACCAAAATTCAATCTATATATAGGTTTAAATTATAGATAACCATTCCAGCTACATATAGTTTAAATTGTAATTCACTGTAAGGATATTCCATTTTACATATTTTGCGCTATTTATATGCGAGTTAAATTTATGCTAAATGTATGGATTAAGGTGTAAGGATCTTAAGTTTTACTAACGTTTATTTTATTTTAAATCTTTACTATCACTTCTTATTTTCTACTTCCGGCCAGAATTATAAGCGTGAAGGATTTTATGCAAAGTTTGTCTGGCGAACGCCAAGTATTTAAATGTGGCCTTTTTGCCAAGCAGAAGAGAGGAAGCAGTGAGTTCGAAGCAGGCCGCTTACCTTAGAAGTTACGCAGTTGCTATTTTGCCTTCCAGGCCAGAGGTTTTAATCCTCTTGATAAATTAAACGTATTGTAGTGTTCACAGTCTCTGTGCTACATACGCTTCCTGTTATTATAAGGCCAATCTTCCACGTATATTATTCTAAAGTTAAATTAGAGTTTAGTTTTATTTTGATATCTTTTACGTTAGACCCCGAGTGGAGGGTCATTGTATTCCGAAGTACGGAAGTCATTGTATATAAAGAAAAATAAAGGGTTTTGTATACCCTTCGTCTGTATCCTGTCTACTTACTACAATTAGTGAACATAGCTTTAGTAAGCTCTCTGTTCTAGTCAGGTCATTGTATGTTTCCGAAGAAGGTTAGAAGAAACATAGAACCTGATAAAGGAAAGAACGTAATTCACCTTCACAAACATTAAATTTATCTTCCTTATTTATTATTACAAACATGATTTATCACTGCTAATAAGCTTCTTCTACAGTTATTATCTACTTTGAAAAAGTTTCAAAAATATAACATTTAATGTTACTTTATTAAGCTTTAGCCTGGAGGCCATTAAAAAATAATTATGCCTGCGTAAGCTAAGTTTGGACTACGTTCTAAACCCATAATCCAACACACAGTTTCACTGGCTGTCATTGTGTCAGTCACTAACTGAATTATACTCCGACTGTAAGGAAGACTCTGCCGTTCAGTGCCGGCAATGTTCCTCCCTCCTCACATGCGAGTTTCAAATGATTATAAAATTCAGCAACCGAAGTGGATTTATTCTGTCACTACAATAAGCTTAAGATACAATTGATAAATATCATAAAAATATCGACTTCAGTTTTACAACAGTATCAAAAAAAGATAAATGGTTTGAGGTAATTAAATTATAGTAAAAAGTAGAGAAATTTCATCAAATAATACTACATATGTCACCACATAGTTCCTATATGAGATGTTTCTGAATTTTATGTAATTTGCATCGAATAAATACCCGTTACAAGCTATCAGCAGGTGACAGGTGAGAGCAGGCCCAGACACCCGGGGGACTTGCATAAAATAATCAGATGTCCAGATCCCCCAACTATCTAAATCTACACTCTGATATTAAGACATTACATGGCCATACAAAGGCAATGTCAGCAACAGTTTAACACTAAATATGATTATTTTACAAGTTATTTCCCCCTCCTTTCCGCATGCCTTTGTGGTGTAACGGTAGCATATTAGGCACGTATTCGAGAGGTCCAGGTTCGAGTCCCGACGATGGCATTGCACATTTTCCAGTTTCTTGACTTCAACAAATTCTAAATGATTCTACAAGGGGCGCCCGAACTAACTGGTGGAGGATAATTCGTCACCACTGGCGAAAGTGCCCTCATCCACAGTCGCCCTTTTATTTTTCTCTGCTTTCCGCATGCCTTCGTGGTGTAACGGTAGCACAATCGGCGCGTATTCCAGAGATTCAGGCTCGAGTCCCGGTGGGGGCAGTGCTCATTTTTCATGTCTCCTACTTCAAATAAAACCTAATAACTGCGATTTGTTCAATTAGTTGTAGGAGTTACATCCATATAGGCTACACGCAATAATAAATGCACTATTTGCAACTTACAAACTCATCATCAAATTAACTTCAGACATAAATCTTAGTAATTTTTTTCAATCAATGAGATATTGATTATGCTGATCAGTTGCCAGAACTTAGTCGACTATGGACCCCTATCCGATCCCTTGTAACCATTGACCCTTTTAAAATTTCATCGACCCTTATGGAGTCAATACTGACGCATTGGGAACCCCTGATTTAGGAAAAGATGTGTTAAAAAACATTTAAAACGCATTTCAAGCAGTTCAATATATTTTACCAGGCTATTTAAAAGAAAAATTTTTTAACTGTAAGTAATACATCGAATATATGGCGTTATACATTCAACTCACTTTTTGCATCATTCGGGTTGCCAATCTTGCAATACATTTCGTCTGATCCGTCATGACAATCTTGAGGTCCATCACACCAAGCTTTCCTGTTTATACACTGTCCGTTTTCGCATGGAAGCTCTCCAAATTTGCAAGATGCTGTAAGAATATTTATAAAAAATCATATCACTTAATAGATTAAACAGAACTTTTTGTATTCCATATATTATTTCATCACACACTCTTCGATCTTTTATGAGGAAAGGAAGTGAATCATTATGATATCCACCACTTCATCAAGATGATTTGGTTTCAAAGGTGTAAAAGTTCAAAGGTGTAAAGCTAACCATAGAATTAAAAACTTATATTCAGTTTTCCAGATACCTTATTTATGTCAATTATTCGGTTTTAAGTTTAAGAAGAGGGATTTTACTGTCATTTTGCTTGAAATATGGGTAAAAACAACTTTTCAGTTTCATAACTATTAATACTTACATTAACTATTTATAATAATAAATAGTTAATGTAAGTATTAATAATTTAGCCATAAAAATACAGTGAAAACATTACACTATTCACAGTTTCAGACAATTTTAATCTATAATGAAATAATTATTAGGCAACATGACAATCGGTGATGTCAATTTCTATAATTATTGATCTTCTTTTACTGAATTCTCTTGAAACACTTGTCATTTTCAGAATTATCTGTCTATGGGAAGAGGTCGCTGACCAGCATCGCAGTATTATTTAGCTACACTTAACAGAAAGAACAATACCGTAATTACTATATCAAAAATATAAGACAGGTATTTTAAAACACAATAACCTGTAATAATAATAAGAAGAAAATTAGGTAATTTTTATGCCTTATATCAAGCTTTATACAGAGTTTATTTGCCTCTCTGCGAACCAGCAGAAAAATAAACATTCTATTCCTAAATAAAAGTTTCAAGATTAGACTTCTGCGATACATTTTACGTTTCTATGCTCAATTTTCGGTGGTTATAATAAGTTTTCGAATATATAAAACATGTTGTAGAAAAGCAATCACTAGAAGCAAAGAACTTGTCCCAGTAATATTGATACTACTAATATTGATACTATTGTTTATTCGGTTGTTCATGATTCTTCATGATTTGAAGAGACTATTTAAAAGCGTTACTGCTTTTAATTATTACCTTGTTTCCATTTACAAGTTATAATATAGATTCCATGTACATTTTAATATGTAGGTTTCGCATTTTACACATTTTTGCCTCGATTTAAACTTCGAATGAACAGTTTAAAGTTTCTGAACTAAAATCTACACAGAATTGCTACCTCGAAAAAAAATAGTGCATATTTTCTTTACTTTAGTCTTCTTTAGTGTACTTTATTTAACATGGAAAAAGTTCGTTTTTTGCATAATATGAAAACAGCCAGCAAAATACGAAATGGAAGGAAATATATAACAATATAAATTTCAAAGTAAAATAATGCAAATTTAAGTTATCAGTTATTATTGAGGGAAAAAGTCCGATACCTTCGAAAAATTTCCCAAAATTATTACATGAAATATATACCATCAGCGGCAATGCACATCTAAGCCAAGGGTTGAAAGTTTCCTTTATCAAGATTTAATATCACAAGGACCCCGCCTCTGTTAAGTTTCAGAGAAGCCATTTTCGAAGTTTTGAAACTTTCAAGAAAATCAGGCGTACAAGCTTTTCTTGTAAAAACGAGCGCCATCATGTTGTTACCATATGTAGGTTACATATGCCAGAAAAATTCTTATTTTTTGTAAAAGAAAATCAAGGACAACAGAATTCAGTTTGTTTCCATGCAAAATTATTACTATTTTAAATAAATTAAAGTGCTTTTATTAAAGAGATCATTATTTTCATAAGCTTATTTCTCATTATTTCCTTTAATTAACTAACTTTACACTACTCAAAGTTAAAAAGGGTATATAAAAACATAAAAATGTGTGTACTTTAGAAGAGCGTCTAAACTATACGAATTCATAACGATACATAACCCGCGCGCGCGTGTGTGTGTGTGCACGCACATAACGATAAATGACAGAACGAAGCGCTTTTAACCATTTCAGGATCCTGTACCAAGGATTTATTTGCATTATTAAAATCACTATTGCACCGAAATCTTCGAGCGAGTTTTCTCTTGAACATCTAATAGTTTCTTCTGGTATCACAATCAACTCGACATTTTTATTTCTAGCGCGAATGAAATATTGCATTTCTGTATGACAGCAGATGACAATCTAAGCTGACACTTACCTTTTACCAGCTGCTTTTGAAGACAGATACAATTTTATTTTGAATAACTAATTATCTTTCGATCTTACAACTAACAGAGTCAAAAGCAGGTAAGAAAACTTTAAAATAAATAAATAAATAAATACGTTTCACAGCATCAAATTTCGTTTGAGAATGAGTATAAAATATAAATATCAGGAAAGCACACACGCAGTAAGAATAAAGAAAAATTTAATATAGAATTTTCAAGACTGACATTTTTATGTTTACTTAATGCCCGTTTCAGATCTAAATTCCACATATATATCTGTCAAAGTACTTCTGCCGAATAATACAGTAGGAAGAACCTGTTGAGGGATACAAAGGTGACTGAACCGATCTCCTTCCAAGACCTGATTTTCAACATTTATTATTTAATTGAAAAAGAAACCGATCTTTTAAAGCCCACACAAACAGAAAGTATAACCAAATTCAACATATCCCATCAGTTTTCATTATTAGAAATAAACAGGCAAGGTTATTTTATTTAACATTCACTCAGAGGAAAAATATAGTTACTACCTGCAGACTCCACGTTACCTCATTTGTAGGTTATCGAAACAGATTATAAAAAAGCGGCTATCATTTTAATTATTAGTCACGACAAAAATTAAACTTTGAAACTTTATAATACACGATAAAGAAATCTAGGTGAGGTTTGAGAATAAAAATAAATGTCTGACACAAAAATAGTATCTAACATCTATAGCAATCAAAGTTTTGATAGCTTTGTCAGTTAGTTGGTAAACTATAAGATCTGATACCTCGATTTATATATGTTTAATTTATTATTTGCTTTTACTCACAAAGTCAAACCCTTCATTTTGTTCGTACACTTAATTTTCTACACAAAAGTATTATAGTAAAAAATTAAGAAAGAAACAATCAAGTAATTCTGCAAACGTGCATAATTAATCACCTTTTAGCCATTCTACCTGTCGCCAAACTGCTGTTAACGTATCATTATTTCATGAACTTCTAAATTAAGGACATAATGCTCGCAGCCTATAGAAAACATGAAAAGTGTTTGTAGAGTCATTTGATTATTCTGAAACAGGAGACATGAAAAATGAACAATGCCCTCGCCGGGGTTCGAATCGAGTGTGCTACCGTTACAACGTAACCATTCAGCCGGACAGGGGCACCTGGACAAGCGAATTTTGAATTTCGAATTTGTTTTATTATCTATTTAATACTTTGTAAAACTTTAACAACTTTTTGACTGACAAACTCAACGATTTCAAAGCCAGCAATGACAACACTGAACGAAAAAAAAAAAATTATCTCCAGCGTGCAAGACTGTGTGTCGGAAATTCTTAAAGATATGCTGTTTTTTAAATATTTCAGATATATCAAAGCGGCGGCATATTGATTGATAAATACATAAAATATTTCAAACCGAATTGTATATTGCCGTGGTCCACGTGCAAGATAAAGTTAGAATTGCTGTTCTATACTCAAAAACTGAACCTGAGTACCGATCATATACTCGATGCCATTTTTCTGACTTTGGAATATAACGAGGAATGTAAAATGGTCTTGGTCGGAGATTCTTCGGAAGGAAGGCAATTCGACGAAGAACTTCAATACATGCATCTCGAGTTGAAAACAGATCCTAAACACTTTACTACCAGAATTTAAATGAAGATCGATGGAATATTTTCAAATCAAAGCATGAGAACGGATGTGTACATGAGTACGTAATTTACATGAGTACATGAGTACGTAAATAAGTTTTACCATTTTCCGTCATATGGAAGAACAAAACAGTTAAAAGTCATCAATAGACAAAATATTTTATATTATCCACTAATGTATGAGCAATTGCAACAACGCTATTCCTATATTATTTTTTTCTTTTTCTTGTTACAATTAATATTTTCGAATAGTCGACTGGGATCCTATCCTGAATTATTATACAGGATGTATGAAAGAATACCTGCATGCTTTATTTCCTTTTCCTTAAATATTGATCCCAGACATAAACTTCCAGTTACAAATTTTCTGAGATTCAGAAGTAAATTTTAAGATTACCGTTTCGGCCTTAGAAGTAGAATGGTTTTCAAGAATATAAAATTTAACTTTAATATGGTAACTTAGAGCAAAAGCTTTTCTAAAGTTTAGTTTTCTTCGGGAGCATAAACCAGCTCAAAACTCCTAACAGACGTAAAGTGAGTTATCGCTGTTATTGAAATTAACTACAGAGTCTTGGAAATGTTTAAAATAAATCTTTATATTTAAACAAAAGCTTTGGCCGTAAATGTACTTTCTCGTGCTAACAGATTCAACTTCCAATTGTGGCGATGAAACTAAAGAAACAGTCAAATTCAAAATTTAAAAGGTAGACTAGTCATTAAAGACTACACATATTTAAATCTAAGCTGGCTCAAAAACTCGCAAAGCCGAAGAGTAACATATCAGAGCTGAAAGAAACTACGTAAAATGTGACTGCGAGAGGCAGAAACACGCTCTGTCCTACAATCCAAAAACCTCAGCTTAAATATTGTCTAACTCATTTACACTTTTGGTGAGGAAACAGAAGCAGAAGTTACACTAAAGGCTGAAATTATAAATAACTGGTTAATTTAAAAAATAAACCTTACTGTTTATTAGTATTCATAATGAGCTAAATATAAAGTTTTCGATTATTTAACGCGAAAATTCGTGGTTTTAAAGATGAGTGTCGACGACATATTTGCTACGCCAAACATTGTTCATTTGTAGAATTAGGAAAAAAAATTATCTGAAAGTAGCGTAATAGTAACTGCGTCACAGCTAAGGCACTAATACTAAAATGATACATAAGAAAATTTTTCCTGCCACGATTTTGAGGTAATACACTTTTCTAAGGATGACAATATT